AAGGGCTTGGGTCAGGGAGGCAAGCACTGGAGATGGTGAGAGGCGCTCCCACTTGAGACAGAATTTGAAGGCTAACAGCATTTCCACACAGATTGAATCTGGGTATAAAAAGAGTAGTTTAAGAGGACTCCAAGATCTTTCTTTGGCCTTAGCAACTGGTAGGACAGAGGTGACATCTCCTGGGGTGGGAAAGGCTGTGGGCAGAATGTGTTTGGGCTGATAATCAGAAACAATTAGACAGGTGGAGTCTGACAGATGTATTTCCATCTAACTAGAAAGGGTCAACAGGCAGATGGATATCCAAGAAAAGTTTGGGGAGAAGTCTGGGTTACAGATGTATCTGTGTTATAATTTTTTCCTTGATTTCCTTTTCCTTGATTTTCTTGATTTCCTAAAATATCTTTAGTCCTTCCTCAGGGGAACAATACATAACTACACACACACTCACACATTATAAAGAAAAGCTCTATTTCACAACCTCTTCCATTAAACAAATATACATCTTTCAATGTAAAGGAAAATATAACTAGAGTATAGGGCTGTTTGAAGACTGCCCGGCAGTGGCTGTCGTTAACGTCACCTGAACATTTATGAAATGAGGAGAGTTAAATTCTATTCTCAGACCTGTGGAGAAAAAGGATGGCTTAAGAAATTATTTTGCCAGAAGCGAAGAAAATATCAATGAAGAGAGAGTGTTGAACTAAAACATTGCTAAGTTTCCTTTCTGCTTTCACAGTGAATAAACTGTTTGTCTTGAATTAAAAACTTAGAACTCTTCCCTTACTCAGAAAATAGGCTATAATCACAAGACAGTAAATTAAGAAGTGTCTAAAATACCCTCATCCATGCTACCGTTAAGCAGTGCGATAGCTGAAGATGAACAAGAATGGAATCGGATTTGGGGCGGGCAGTGTCCAGAGGCAGCAACGCTGTCTGTGGCATGTGGCCACCTGGGCATCCAATCAAGGGAATTCCTTCCCAGGGCATGTCTTTAAGATCACACTCTCTCAGAATGAGTGCTCTCAAACATCGTTGGAACTCCATGTTTCCCCAATCTTGTCCTGCTAAATTCTGTTGGTGAACTTTAATGTTATACTTTAAATTCATATGTGCGTTGATATAGAGAGGAATAATGGAAAGACACACACACACACACACACACACACACACACATATATATATATACATATATATATATATTTTTTTTTTAAGAGAGAAAGAGGGAACACCAGTGAGTGGGGAGGGGCACAGGGAGAGGGAGAGAGAATCCCAAGCAGACTCCATGCCCAGCATGGAGCCTGACCTGGGGCTCCATCTCACGACCCTCAGATCATGACCTGAGCCAAAATCAGGAGCTGGATGCTTAACCAACTGCACCACCCAGGCGTCCCAAAAACGACATACTTTTTAAAATGAGAAAATATTAGAAGACTCAGAAAGATGTTATATCTATGTTAAAGTGTGTTTTTATATTAAGTTGCCAAGTTTTTATGACCCTACCTTAAGGCAACAGAATAACAAAAGTACTATCCTTACTTAAGCACCCATGAATAAACATCCCACTATATGATCACAAAGAGATGAAAACAAAACAAAGCAGAGGAGTAAGAAAGAGACACTGCTGAGAGAGAACAAAGGAAAGGAAGGGAGGCAAAGAGGAGAAAGATTTAAAAAAAAATCATTTTCAGGGTGCCTGGGTGGTTCAGTCAGTTAAGTGTCTGCCTTCGGCTCAGGTCATGATCCCAGGGTCCTGGGATCCAGCCTCATATGGGGCTTCCTGCTCAGTGGAGAGCCTGCTTCTCCCCCTCCCTCTGCCTGCCGCTCCCCCTGCTTGTGTTCACTCGCTCTGTCAAATAAATAAAATCTTTAAAAAAATACATTTTCAAATAAAACATGTGAATGTAAAACATATTACTGGATCTACTATCAGATTCCTCTAAAAATTACGTTTATTGCCTAAAACATACACAATTACAACTATATCAGAATTAGAGAATTTCAATCTCTCTTTAAATGGACAAGGACCTAGAAGAGAAATTTGAGAGTCACATACAAGCAAAAAGAAACTTCTCTTAAAAATTCACAAATGTCAGTGTTCTTTTTGCCTGTTAAAAAAAGATTTGCACAGTATTCAATATAAAGAAGCAAAGTTTGGTTCTGTCAGGGAGCAGTGGGAAAAGGAAAAGAGGAGACAGGAGGAGTGAATGCAAAGGTGGCTAACAGCACGGTGACACATGACATAAATACAGGGAGCATTTGCAAGTTGTAAAATTACACATTTTGGTCTGCTAACAAGGGAACAACCTCTTCCTCCTTCAAAACTTGCTGCTTTACCTCTAGCCTCTATCTCTATGGGTGATACCATCCTTTACCCACTTACCCACTGAAAATCTGAGGTCTCTGATCTGATCTAGCTCAAGTCTTCTAGATCCAACCACCAGGGCACAGCAAGCACAAGGGACAGGTTTGCCGGAAGGTTACTGCATATGTGAGCCTGCTTCCTACCTCTGTGCCTTTGGTGTGCTGTTCCCATGAACTGTATAGTACCTGTCTTTCCTCAAGCTCTTTGCCCCTGCCCACCCCAATACTTCCTGCCTGGAGAACTGATTAGGTGCTCTAATCTCTTTCGTTAACCCAGTATCCCAGTTATTTTCTGGGCAACTATCTTTCCCACCAGATTATACCTTATCTGTTTTATCTTTGTAAATCCAATGCCTAATACAGGGCCTGGAATTCTAAAACACACTCAAAATTGTTTACTGATTAAATTTAGTTAAATTAGATTAAAAGTTAAATGGGATGTGATATAGTTAGGTTTCCCATCTCTGAGGGTTTTTGACTAAATCTAAGTATGTTAGGAGAATTCCCACACTGGATAAGAAATGAGATCTACCATATGACTTTGTGATATTCCTTCCATTTCTACACACATTGTAATTTGCCCAGTTGACTGCCTTTTATACAGTTCTTTATAATATTTAATAAAGACATATGACTTATACTTTGTACAACTAATTCTTTTTATGTTTCATTCTTATTCAAGGCATGGCCAATGATGGAAATGCCACTGTAAAGAGCTTATTAAAAACGTGCTAACACAAAAGACCCTGAGTAGCCAAAGCAATCCTGAGAAAGAAGAACAAAGCAAGAAGCATCATGCTTCTTGATTTCAAGCTATATTATAAAGCTATAGTCATCAAAACAGTATGATATTCACATAAAAACAGATGCACAGACCAATGGAACAAAATCGATAGTGCAGGAGTAAACCCAAGCATGTTTGACATGGGAGCCAAGAATACTCAATGGCGAAAAGAAAGCCTTTTCAATAAATGGTTCTAGGAAAATTGGATATTCACATGCGAAAGAATGAAAGTAGACCCTTATCTTATATAACATAAACATATTAACTCAAAATTGATTAAAGACTTGACCATAAGACCTGAAACCATGAAACTCCTAGAAGAAAATATAGGAAAAAACTCCTTGACATGGGACTTGGCAATGAATTTTTGGATATGACACCTAAAGCATAAGCAATAAAATAAAAAAGAAAAAAAAAACCAAGTGGGACTGCAACAAACAAAAAGGCTTCTGCATGGCAAAAGAAACCATCAACAAAATGAAAAGACAGCCTATGGAATGGAGAAAAATATTTGAAAACAATACATCTGATATGGGGCTAATATCTAAAATACACAGGGAACTCATAAACTCAATAGCAAAAAACCCCAACCAATCTGATTAAAAATGGGCAGGCGATCTGAATAGATAGCTTTCCAAAGAGGACACACAGAAGGGCAACAGACACATGAAGAGAGGCTCAACATCACTAATTGCAAGGGAAATAAAGCCACAATGAGATAGCACTTTGTGCCTGCTAGAATGGCCATCATCAAAAAGACAAGAGATAGGGCGCCTGGGTGGCTCAGTTGGTTGGGCGACTGCCTTCAGCTCAGGTCATGATCCTGGAGTCACGGGATCGAGTCCCGCATCGGGCTCCCTGCTCAGCGGGGAGTCTGCTTCTCCCTCTGACCCTCCTCCCTCTCATGTGCTCTCTCTCACTCTCTCTCTCAAATAAATAAATAAAATCTTTAAAAAAAAAAAAAAGACAAGAGATAACAAACGCTGGCAAGGAGGTGGAAAAAAGAGAACCCTTGTTCATGGTCAGTAGGAATGTAAATTAGTGCAGCCACCACGGAAAACAGTATGGAGGTTCCTCAAAAAATTAAAACTTAGAACTGCCACATGATCCAGCAATTCCACTTTTGGATATTTATCCAAAGAAAATGAAAATATTATGTCAAAGAGACATCTCCACTCCCATGGTCACTGCAGCATTATTTACAATAGCCATGACATGGAAACAACCTAAGCGTCCATCAATGGATAAGTAAATAAAGAAGGTGTGGTATGAATACACAATGGGATATGTACATAATTCAGCCTTTAAATAAATGAGAAAATACTGCCATCTGAGATAGTCTGGATACACCTGAGGCATTATGCTAAGTGAAATAAGTCAGACAGAGAAAGACAAATACTGTATGATCTCACATACTATATGTAAAATCTTAAAAAAATAAAACCTTACAGAAAATGGTCAGATTTGTGATTACCAAAAGTGGTGGTGGAGGGGGTGGAGAACAGGAGGAAAGTAGTCAAAAGGTACAAAACTCCAGTTATAAGATCAATATGTACTAGGGATATAATGTACAATGTTATGACTACAGTTGACACTACTGTAGGACTTATATGAAAGTTGTTATGAGAGTAGATCCAAAGACTTCTCATCACAGAAAAATTTTGTTCCTGTTTCTTTTATACCTATATGAGATGATGGATGTTAACTAAACTTATTATGGTCAATACTTCATGATACATGTAAGTCAAATCATTATGCTATAGTCCCTAAACTTATATGGTGCTGTATATCAATTATATCTCAACACAACTAGAAAAAAAACTCCAAAATACGTGCTAACATTTCTATGACTTACTGAACACATCTCCTCTGGGTTTCTGAGGATCTGTGTGTATCCTGTTGTCAACTGTAATCCATCTTGGAGAGGTAGTGGCAATGGGTGTTGCAGGGGTCAATCTGGTGCTTGGGCTTTCTGGGCTTGTTGTGGGTGGAGATGTTCCGAGTTCTGTGAACGGGGGTGGGGTCAGCTCTGCTGTTGGCCTTGGTGCAGGTCTTGTTGTTGGCTTAGAAGTGGGCCTGTTCGTAATAACAGGAGGGATATATGGTGTCTTCAGAGGCCACCTAGTACTTCCAACATCAGGAATCCAGTTACTGTGTCCTCCATCACCCTTTGAAATGGTACCATTACCCTTTGGTACATGAATTGGACCTGAAGGTTCAATCATGACTTTTGGAATATCTGAAAGAGTCAAAAGATTTAAATTAGTGTGTCTCTCTAAAAGTTCGGTTGTGGAATCAAATTGTGAAAACACATTAGAATATCTCATGATAACTAGGCTTACTTTTCACATTTAGAATATTCCCCTACTGTAAGTCATGCTGTTTTCCAAATAATAACTATGTGTGGATATGTATATGATATACAGATATATATTCATACACATACATATTCATCCTGTAGATATATGCAAAAATTATACTGGTATTTCTGTAATGGATATGTATTATTTGCAACACAAAGAATTTCAAGTATTTGTAAAATGGAAATAAACAACAATCCTTGAGATTTTTAAAATGCAGAAACATTCTAAGTTTTTTAAAATATGAGAAATATTTGTTCAGAATCTATGTTAAGTGTCCCTAGGGCACACATATACTATAAAATCATGTTTTGAATAATCCTTTTCTCTTCGATACTCTATGTAAATTCAACTCATGCAAAATATGTTAAGTGTTCCGTATATTTTTTTTAAGATTTTATTTATTTATTTGAGAGAGTAAGAGAGCACGAGTGGGAGGGGCAAAGGGAGAGGGAGAGAGAATCCCAAGTAAACTCTGTGCTAAGTGTGGAGCCAGACACTGGGCTCGATCTCACGACCCCAAGATCATGACCTGAATGGAAACCAAGAGTTGGACACTTAGCTGACTGTGCCACCCAGGCGCCCTAAATGTTCTGTATATTTTTGAAGTTTGTTTGCATTCCCCCTTACTAATTTATACGACTGCTTAAAAAAACTTCCAAGGTCACCGTGATTATCTGTGGAATCTTTTTCGGTGATTATCGTCACCAAAAGGAATTAATATTTACTCTTCCGGGAACAGTATACTCTAGGCCTGGAGTATGACTACATGACCCTTCAAAAATCCTTTAACTCCCATGGTTTTAAGGCTCATCGTTTTCAGTAAATATTTTACTCCAAAGCTTTAAAAATTATCTACTGTCATATGAAATGTATGCTAAATTATGGCCTTTAATTTGTAAAACTTTCATCTTGGAGGTTATTTTTTTCATGTTTATCTACTAACATAGCCATACTCCAAACAGCTTGTAAGGATTTAAAAAGCAAAACTGTCCTAAATTTAGAGAAAAGAAATATCGGAATGATTTTTTAATAGTAGAATTAGAAGACATAAAACAGAGGAACAAAAAATAAGGTATATATTCAGATTTTCCACCTGTCATAATGTAATGCTAATGACAAACATTTACTTCTGATTTTAACAAAATCAAATTCTCAGGGAGAGCTCCATCATTTCTTGCCAGCCAAAGGTAAGCTATTGAGACATTTTAGCAAAGGAATTAAACACTCTTAAGATTAGAATGCATTACTGAGTCTTTAACTTTTTTAAAATACCTGAACAAGTGATTTGCCTGTTTGCAGAAAATACAGACTAACGTAATTAGCTATAAAAAGTATGCTTTTTGGATAACTAATCCTGTTCTTCATCTTTCCCAGTAATGCCCTTCATGGTAAGCCTGTATTTCCTGCTAGAATTCAGAGCCGGGAGATAAGCATTACTCACACACACAATTCAGTCCATCACCCTCGTATCCATCTCTACATTGACACTTGTAGGACCCGTGTACGTTGTAACATCGAGCAAAGCGGCTGCAATGATACTGACCAAGGGAGCATTCATCTATATCTGCATTGCGAAGTAGGAAAAGAAGAAGTTTATTTGGGAGAGAAGTATGAAGACATCAAAAATATATAGTTTCAAAACAAAAAAAAATTTTTTTGGAAGTTCCACGTAAAACCAGCAGATAAACGGAAGAAACAAAGTACACGTGCATCCAGAACCACCAGATGGTTGCACAGGGCTTCTGTTTAATGTGATGCCAGCACCGTCCCCAGCCGCTGATTTCCCAGTCGCCACCACAGGTAGGAGGGCTTCCTGCATCCCAAGAAGAAGCAACACAAAGTGATGGTTGAGGCTCATTACCGTGACACTGGTATTTGCCTCCAATGTACATGAGGTCGAAGCCTTTCTGACACTTGCAGATGTAACTCCCAAAAGTGTTGACACACTGCCTAAATCGAGGGCAGGAGGCGCTTCCAGTAGCACATTCATCGACATCTAGAAACATAAATCAATTGCGACTTAGAAAGAGCACCATCATGTTCAGAGGGAATGGGTTTTGTTCGCAAATGGCTGCCTGGCACTGGGCGGCTCATCATAAGTGTCATCCAGCTGGTAGCCCCGACAGGCTAGATAAATTCCACATCTCCAAATTTCACCGCATCCTCCTAACCAGAGCCATCCTGTTCCTGCACCATCTCTCTGCACAGACTGCACCTGCATCCACTAGTTGTTCCGAATGGAAACATGAGGCATCCTTACAACCCTATTTCCTATAACGCAAAATCATCAGGCCCAGTTAATCAGGCCTAGTCTTCTTTTCACCCACTGCCACTACCCAAGCTACCATCTTCCAGGTTAGACTGTGACAAGAACCTCCGAACCGGTCTCTTCCCCGCCAGTCTTACCCCTCCAGAGCATTCCCACTCAACTGTCAAAATGCTCTACTGCAACCCAAGATTGGAATATTAAAACTCAACTGTTCTGCTTGCTTTTTAAGTTAAATCCTCATTCCTCAATGTGTGTGAACACCCTGCCCTAACTATGTAATCCTTACGTACCTCCCCGGTTATGTGTCAAGCCCCCACCCCTCATACTCAGTCTGCACGGAAGCCACATTGGCCTGCTTTCTTTCAAAACCCCACACTGGCCAGCCCCTGCCCTCTCTCACTGAGGTGCCTACCCTGTTTGCACCTGCTTGGTGATTCTTCACACGGCCAGTGGTCCAGGTCTTACTGAAGGGTTTTCCTTGACCGTTACTTTCTAAAATAAACCCTCTGTGTTTTCCTCTTAGTACCTCATATTAACATTTAGTATTGTTTGTAATTTTATTAGATATTTGTTTCTTTTCTGTCTTCCCCATTAGAGTGTCAGTTTTGTGAGGATCAAAATCACATCTGCTTTGTCCACTACGGTATATCCTAGCAGTTGGCACAGTGCCTGAAATATAGAAAGTATTAAATCAGTGTCTCTTGAATCACTGACTACCTCTAGTTCTTGAGTAGGTACTACATGCTAGGTACTCTGCTCAGCTCTTTGCATACATAATCCCATTCAATCCTTACAATGGTTCTAGGTGGTATTACTCCTATTTAAAAAAAATATTTTATTTATTTGACAGAGAATGTGAGAGAGCACAAGCAGGGGGAGCAGCAGAGAGAGAGGGAGAAGCAGGCTCAGCGGGGTCCTATGTGGGGCTCGATCCCAGGAGCCTGGGATCATGACCTGAGTGGAAGGCAGATGCTTAACCGACTAAGCCACCCAGGTGCCCCACATTACTTCCATTTTTAAAAGATGAAGAGACTCAAGCTCAAAGAAAGGAAGTCTCTTGCTTAAGGTTACATATCAAGCACATGGCAGCACTAGGTTTGAGATCAAAGCCCAGATTTAACCACAAACCTATACTGTCTTAGCTAAATTACAGGAAAACAAATCTAACTTTTAGTGCAGCATGTACAATCTAACCCTGCCTACCTATTCAGCTTCATCATTCATTGCTTCTTAACATTCTAGAAATACTGAGCTCTTCTGCTTTCCCTGAATACTGTGCTCTTTTAAACTTCAGAGCCTTTGCACATGATTTCCTCTGCCCAAAACTTCCACCTGTCCCTCATTTTTAGAGAAACAAGACTTCCATTATCCATTCACAGAGAGAGGTCCTCTCCTTGAGGCATGTGCTATCTTGTAAGGATAGCCAACTGCTTGATGTAGGCAACTGCCTCTTCCCCGTACTGCCATCACCTTTCACTTTCTCCTTTTATCCTGCGGGGGCTTCTGACAGAGATGCTTGATTTTACAACTCACCCACACAGGTCCTCCCATCGGGAGCCAGCTGTAGGCCAGGAGAGGGGCACTGGCACCGTATCTGTCCTTTGACAACATCACAGCCATACTGACAGTTGGCCATGGAGCACGTCAGGGCACCTGGAAAGAGTGTGACTGGCTGACTCAGAAAGGCAGAGGACAAATTCTGTAACCAAAATAACGTGGGTTTTTTTTTTTTTTTTTTACTTGACACTGAATCAACAACAAAGACAAAAAGCCCTCAATTATCCAATAGTTGCTATTCCTCATCTGAGGAAGATCTTTAATGCATTTAAAAAATGAAAAGACAAATCTATCTCACATAGATTATCTGGAAATTTTTCCAGTGGCCAAGGAAAGTGGACAATTGAGGTAATTTTCTAGATTATTCATGCTAAATGCTGATCTTCACTAAAACATCCAATTAATTTTCTCAATCTCCCACTAAATTTTTCTAGGGACAGATTTCCTACTGGGTCGTACAATGTTAGAGGATTCTAACATCACTACTACATGGTCTTAAACATGAATTCACTTAATTCTAAAGGTTCCAAGTTAAATATGCAATGCTAAATAAGATTAACTGAAACTTATTAATAAAATACAACCCAGTTAGAGAGAGATAACTGATAATTAACTAATTGGTAACTAACTTAACAGATAACTCAGTAAAAATAACAATCAAGTCCTCAATTGTCAGAGATCATAGAAACACAAACTCAATTCAACGTTCAGCCCACAGAAAATTTCAGGGGATTGTCCATCTTATAAACACATCCAAATGATAGTAGAAAAACATGATACATCTCTTTCTCACAAAGACACATGAAATCTAACGTTATTGGAATCATTTGATGTAGATTTTTTTTTTTTTGGAAAGTGTTATCTTAGTCTTTAGACTATTAGAAAGAACTGTAAAAGTGAAGTGAGAAGGTACTTATGAATGGTTTACGCTCAGTCAACAGACTTGATGGATTCGTTACCAGCTAACGGTTTATAGTGTCCATGCTTGTGAACAGCAACACAGTCCTCACATAGGCACTAAAGTTCTTTTTCAAGCTAGAACAGTTCTTTGCCCAGATAGAAGACAGGCAAAAGCGTGTTGGGAAAAACACTAGAAAATACATTTAGTTTTACGATTCTTAAATACCACTTCCAAATCCATTTAATGCTGGCGCCCATGGTAAAATAATGCTAGACATGTCAAATGGGCAACTTTTATTTTGGTTTTCCATTCCAGAGGCACACATATATAAATACACGCTCACAGCCTGGGAGGCTATTTTCATATACCCTATCAGAGCACATGAGATCAAGCCAGAGCACTTATAAAACAGTTAAGATTCTCGACATACTTGAGCAGGACCCATCTGGCATGAGCATATATCCGTTGAGACAGTAGCACTTGTAGCTGCCATAAGTGTTCATGCACCTGTGCTTGCAAGGCCGCGGCTTCAGGCCACACTCATTTAGATCTGAAAAGAACAGGGGTCGACGCAGAAAAATGAGAAAGCCTCAACACTAATATAAAACCATTCAAAATACCTCTCTTTATTGAAGAATGAACAAGAAAAGCAGGACAAGCTGTAGCAACCAGTCATTAACATAAGAGAGAAAGCCTGTTTATACCATCTGAATTTCTATGCTGGTTATACGAGGGGTGTGAAGACCAAATGCTTCATAACAATGAGAGGGCTGTGTGAATTTTTGGAGCTTAGATTACGTAGTACCTGTGGTCTCTGTCCACAAAGGACGGCTGGAAAAATTCTCACAGACACATGCCTATCATCACGACCATCTTCCTCATGGATAGAGGTGCCCTGCCATCTACCTAACTGACTCCAACCTCTTCCAAATAGCTGAGTTTACTATTAGCTTCACTCCTGACTATGGGATCTTTCCCTTTCCATTTCCTTCTGTCTCTGTTTTAAAAAGATACTCTGTGAGCCTATCTTAGTTTAGAGGAAGTATTTTAAAACATTCAACTGCTTCGACCTTTCCAAAGGAAAGCTCTATTTTCAGAGGGTAAGAGCTACATGAATTAGAGTGATCACTATTATGGTTTCTCTCATTCAATCTTACAGATTCTATACTGATCTCAAAGAAGAAATTTCAGCTTCCTGCTTTACTGATGTATTCAAGTCACAAAATAAACCACCCCAAAACCTACTCTCCAACATATTTTCATTCATTTGGCAGTTAAGGCATATGGAAATACTAAGGGATGACACATAATGGACTACTATTATGTATTTTGGGTTTGTTGGTTTAAATATCAACATAAACTAATTAACTCCACATAAGAATTTTCTAACCCAAGTTGAATACTGCTTCAAGCGAACATAAAACTCATAATGGCAAACACTAAAATAGTAATGCCCAAAATACAGACTTCATTAAAAAGAAATATGACTACATGTTTATTTTGTCTGGAACTGCCAGCGTAAGCACCTGATTAGATAAATTATCTATTAGTCCATGTCACCAAATCAGATATATATCTAGTGGCAAAGGTGTTTTCATCTAATCAAATTTAAATCTGACCTGCTCACTTACTGGAAATCTACATATTTCACTTAATTAAACCACCAAATTACACTGTTTTAAAAACACCTAATAATTATTACGTTTATAAATGTTTTCATATTTTACTGACTTTCTAACTTGGGTCTTTTTTCTAACCTTAACACAACAGTGAGCAGGTCCCCAGCTGGGCGAAGCCTAGGAAGGTTAACTAAGTAAATTAGGTACCTTCATCATCTCCTTTGCTTTTTTCAATTTTCTACTTTTTTGTCTCATGGCCAGTCATAGGCATTCAAAACAGAATCAACATTTTAAAATATATTTTTAAAAAATTTTCTCAAAGAAAGTGCTTTGCAGATTATAGTATCAACACAAATTTGACTTCTCCCTCTGTTAAATGAAGTAAAAATTTTAAATCAAGGGAGAAAGAAATTCACTCTACCTCTCATATTCTTCTACCCTGTTATCTCAATATTGACTGAAAATCAGAGTCAGGGAATCTTTTCTCATGTTCTAAGAGAAGTCAATTATCATTCCTAATATATCCAAAGATCCCTGCAGATACATACCTGGCTTTGGTAAGTCCCTGACTGATATTAAATGGTATTAAAATCTGAGCAAATTATTAGAAAAAGGCTTTGTTTTTAATATTTTTTGCACTAAGCAAATATAAAACAGAACAGTACAACAAAGCCATTGAGTAAGACTAAATTTTGTATCTCAAGGGAAGGATATTGATGGATAGAAAAATGTGTCAATTAAGAAACCTTAGGCTAGGCTTATAAAAGATTTTATTTATTTATTTGACAGAGAGAGAGACACATAGCGAGAGAGGGAACACAAGCAGGGGGAGTGGGAGAGGGAGAAGCAGGCTTCCCACGGAGCAGAGAGCCTGATGCGGGGCTCGATCCCAGGACCCTAGGATCATGACCTGAGCCAAAGGCAGACGCTTAATGACTGAGACGCCCAGGCTAAGCTTATTTTTAGAGCCACAGAAGCGTTTGTGGGTTCCTGACAGAAACTGGTCAGAGGTGTATAGCTCTAAGCAGCTTATATGTAAGGGATACTTATGCTGATGGAAATTTCTTTATTCACCCTGTCCATGAACCTAAAGCTGAAGCCAAGCTGAGGCAGCTCTAATCTTGACCAATAAAGAACCCCTCAAGATTGCTAGGAGAAGAGTCTTCATGATCCAGACTGGGGCTGCTGGTGGTCTTCAGTCCAGATTTATTCTTTCCTTCCCATGAGAAAAAGCACTTTGGGGTTAAGAATCATGAAACTGAAAGGAAGTGAAAAACAATGTCGTAATTCAAAAACAAACAAATAAAAACAACTCCCCACCTGGGAATCACTCTATGAAATATTATGGAAGAAGAAATAAACATGCAACCTTCGATGGGTAAATGTAGAGACATTTGTTGGCTATATTACTAATTTGACACATGAATATCCAAAGACATTGACAGCCATTTGAGAAAGCCATACTCTAACAGCTGGTGACGGGGTGGCTGATATTCCCGGACAGTTGGCTGGTGTTGAGGTCTCCAGGGATTACCATTACTACCCATCTGCTACAGGCAAGCGTGTCCTAAAAACTCCACACTAACCCTTACAAAAACCACTGCAGAAATTATGAAATAGAATTCCACAATAATCCATGTTATCAATTATTACCAAATATCAAACTTCTGCTAAAGCAGGGAGCTTCAAAATATTGAAAGCATCTGGTGTCGCAGTGATAAACTTCTTTTTGTCAATTTTCTTCAGGGCTTCTAGTCTATTATTATCATAACTTTGTTTTCTTATTGACCTAATGCCTTATAAAATTGAGTTAATATGTACTGCTTCCAAAATCTCATAGACTACTGACCTAGTAATGCTTGTGTTACTGTCAAGTCTGAAGTTCAAAAACACTTCCAATTTATAGTAAATTCTCCTATGCTAATAAACAGAACAATACAAAGAACAAGCTCCTTGATCACGCTTTCTCAAATCAATCTTAAAAGCTGATAAAAAGAACCTAGGGAAGAAAACCTTAGTGTATTTACTTAAATTCACTTCAATCTTGCTCTTTCTCTAGAAGTTTATAACATAAATTATAAGGAAAATCTGTAATAAAAAACAATGAATTCTGTCATGTGCCTATCTTATCACATCAAAAGACATCACTTTACAATTAAACCACTTACATTTCAAATGCTTTAATTACGAAGTATACATTCTTAAAGAACATTTATTACAATGAGGAGTATATTTAAGCAAGTTGTTGGATTCAGGAGCTTGGGGAGGTGGGATGGAGGGTTGGGGGTGGGGGGGGTAAGAAGAGAGCTAGTTCAGAACAAAAATGCAAGCTGCACAGCATTATAATTACGTTTTAGGAAAAAAAGAATCAGAAATTTTATTAGCATGCAGACACTGAAAAGTAGCTTGAAAAATCTAGAATAGACGCATTGAATAAGACAACCCAATGGATTTTTAAGGAAAATAATCTTTCATTCATTTAATGCATTTGGACTTCTTTTCTTCTTTGACCCTTAAACTGGGCAGTGTCTCAGAAGTTTAACCTTTCACATTTTACAGGACTAACGCGGAGGTCACAGGCAGACAGATGTCAGTACGTCAAGTGCCATAACTTTTATTCTTTAAATTATCACTGTTGAAATTAATCCTATTGCCCTAATTCTTTATGCAGAAGATACGCAAGTGCATTATGTTCTCCATCAGCAGGGAGACAATAATTAATAATTTAAACTATTTTAATTCAGTCATTCTAAGTTCCTAAATCTATGAGCGGATGAAGGATACAGTCTTTTTTAGAACAAAACCCGCAAAATCACGCTGTCACCTAACTTCTGTGCAGAACTTTCCATCACAATGAAAACATTGGTATGTCTGGTGTTCTTGTTCCCACACCAGCCCTGCAGGTAAAGAGGGCAGGAATTACTCTCCCCCTGTTACTAGTTGGTTGGTTAGGACTCAGACACATTACATGACTTGCTCATAATCACATAGCCATTTAAAGGCTATTCGGAACCAGAACTTAGGCTTTCTAATGTCACAAAATGCACACCCAAAGAAGGAAGTTAATGTATGGTTTGATTTCCAGGTAACCTAAAACGCTACACTCCAAATACAATGTGGGGGAGAGGACTTCATCACCCAATCTCCGTTGCTTTGGAATGCCCTGACTTCACCCATGAAAATAAAGGTTATTTTGCCATCTCATTTTTAGAAAACCTTTTGAAACCCAGAAAAGGAAAAGAGAAGCAATATTTGATGCAGTGATTGGACAGTGGAGGCTCCAGGCTTTTTAGAGCACAGAGAATCAGCAGCAGGTATTCCGCTGCTTGCTTTACATGCTCAGGATGCTGAAGGCTGGGCACTCCAGGGCTAGTCTTCAGAACATTTACATGAAGTGACAAAACTGCAGGAAGCTGTGCGGGTGGGAGTGCAGCCCACCGGAGATAATGCACGCTCACCCCTTGAAGGTAAACTTGTGGCTTGATGATCCAGGGGTTGGAAAAGAGGCTGTTCACTGCCTTGGTCAAGAGGAGTTGGGTAGAAGTGTTCATCTTCACACCAGGGAGAAAGTAATAAGAGTCAACTTTGAACCGATGTCATTTTTAGCCCTAAAAATCTTCATAAGTATATATTAAACAATTACATAAAGTTGGTGGAGTTCAAAAAGAATGCTTTACATACTTTTTAAAAATGGGTTTCTAGTTCATCCAGTTTCTTTTTAAAATTTGAATTTCTATTTTCCTTAAAATTTCTCACTGCCATCTTGTCTCCCCAAAACGCATGTACATTTTACACACATGCACACACACATCATTCTCACACCACTCTTTATAGAAGAGATGGTCATTTTTTAAAGCATTATTTTAGTCATCAACAAAGAGAGAAAACCAATAAACAGATTATACAAACATTGATTACAATCAACCTGCTCTGTTCAGTGACAGAGGTCCTTAATGTCCAACTTAAGACTTTTTCCTCTATTATTATGTTGTCCAATAGTTTAAAATACCCCAATTAAGCACAACTTTATGATTTGCATAAAGAGCTCATTTAAATAAATAGCATGGTAGTTCATCAATGTTTTCATTCAAATGTAAGAACTTATGTTATATTTAGGTCACATTTAGTAGGAATACACAATAAGCTTCCTACAAGAAGGTTAACTACTGCCATTATTAACTTACCAAAATAGTATAAGATGGGTAAGACTCAAAAGTAGAGTCAAAAAGGCAATCACCTCCGTTTTAAGACTTTCATAGTATTAACAGCCAGTTAAAACTTTCAAATTAAATGAACACTGGTTTCTGGGTTGAAATCACCCATCTTTCAAAAAGTAAGGCTGTCAGAAATTACCTTAATATTAGGGGTAAGAAAGGCAATCAACTTTCAGATTTACCTAGGCCACCGAAGTTTACTGTACAGTTCTGGGCTACAAGCTACTGGTTCTTTTCTTGGGGTGAGGAATTCAACGTATGAAACGTAAACTTTGTCAAAACCTTAGGAATTGATATTTATAAATTGTTTCTTCTGAAATCATTATAAAGCACATCATGCATTCAAAAACCTATGTCTTTCATTTCTGAAAATATGCAATGATAGGACATAGTACATGATAAAAATCATTCCCTACTGGGAAAGTTATAAAAAGGTTATTATCTAATTTTTGGCTTAAGGGAAAGAGAATTTGTATGGGTACAGAGACTCAGAGAGGAGACTCTGCATGAATAAAATTCCCAGAGAAATCAGGTGGGGAAAAAAAAAAAAGGCAAATCTTGCCCGAGTCTGGGTTAGAATTTCATTATTGTGAAAGGCACCATGTGCTGTATAGAATATGCTAATGATCAGTCCAAGCCCATGATTTTATATGTGATCTAGCTACGGCAAATCTAGAAATGACTCCAAGGGAAAAGCAAGCCACCAACAGCAGATTCACGCTAATTTTGCGACAAGGCTGTAAAATTAAGCCAGTCCCCATGTGGGCTTGTGCTGCTCTTCTAGCTGACCCTGGAAGCTCTGGTTAAACGCTGGCCATTTACACAAGCTGTTCACTCCACCAATCAAGTTTCCAGGAGATTATTTCTTATAGTACACCACTTGCAACAAATTTTTTTAGCAAATATTTGCCTTACACAGAAACTTTTTTTTTTGCTCTTTTATTATTTATTTTTATTATTATGTTCAATTACCCAGCATATACAAACCTACTTTTAATCAGAAGCTAATTTTCAGTTCTGTGAAATCATTTGAAATATACCTCTTCTTAACATCTCTCAAGAAAAAAGAAACCTGTTTGTCCATATTTCTGAGGCATGTTTGACAGTTTTTTAAGATGTATGGTCCAGATAAAAAAACAGTCTACATTGATTTGCTGTGTAACCAATATAGACAATTTGCTCTATTCACGTTTCTTGGTGTCTCTTGACAATTGTCCCACTCACCCAGCTCCTTCACAGCCGCCTCTCACCCTGACCAGGGCTCTTGGTCCACAGATTCAGAGGCTGCCTAAGGTGCTGGCTGGACAACTCCATGGAACCCTTACAAGTAGGGTGTTCAGGACCAAGAACCATTACATAAAACTATCATTCACTGAGCAAATATTTAGTGTGCACTTAGCATGTGCAAGTCATTTTAATAATAGTTTTCAGGAACCCAGAAATCAGAGACCATACAGGGTCTCAAAGAACATAAACCATGCCATCGGGAACTTGCCACATTGCTTTTCTGTTAAGGAAGACAAGGAGAGGGGTGATCAAAACACATAGGTTTATTGTAAGCTATAGTTTTATATTCAAGATTGGCCTTGAAATTACATTTTCAGTGTCAGCACTATTTTTTGCCAGTGTAAAAATCCCATTTTGCTACTAATGAAACCCTCTTTCCCCTAAGGAATATAGTTTTAGGAGGCATGATTTAAACTCAGTATATTTCAATTTTTCTTTATAGAAACAGGTATGTATTACAGTTAAAAAGTACATGATAAACTGGTTTTCTGAAAACAGGAGATACCCAGAGGTAGATCCTTGTTACAATAATAGTTTCAGTGTCTTTGAAGCATATTAAAGTTGATGTAGCTCCTGCAAATAAATTTAAATGGATTTCTCTGCAATCTCAACAGTGGCTTCTTATAATAACCTTCTTTGTATAAATTCCTGGCATCAGGACAACAAAGTTTTATGGTGCTGACATATTAATGAAACCTCTGATGGTTTATGTTCTCCACTTTAAAAAGGGAAGCATGCTGGAAGTCTCAGATGCACACTGATAACTCAATAATCAACCAGACATGTCACTACTTGTAAACTTAGACTGGGGAAGGAAAGTCAAATGGATTTTTAAAAGAATAAACTGAGATAACAAAAACCCTATTTACTTCAAAAAGGCTATCCAGGCATGTTGGGTAACTTCCAAGTTAAAAAATATTATAAAAGCAGCATTGGAAAAAAATCAGTTAATCAAATTAACAGATCATACAGAACATACTTGAGAATAACAGTTTCTCCTACATCAGACATGTCACATTTCATTAGCATGGATTTCAACTGATAGTTCAGGAATAATCCCTTATACTTTTTCAAACACCAGTGTTCTGGACTGTTGTGGAAATTATGCCCATGAATCATGTGTTTACATGAGACATATCAAGGAGTATCAGATATTGAAGAACAGGAGTATTTCAACAATATCATCTCCATATCTGATGAAGTAAGTTATCTATGGGACAGTGAAGCCCCATGTAACTGTTCCATTCAACACTAAAAAGGATAGAAAGGATTACTTCAATTTAAGAAATAAGTGAAAAATGGACTCTTTTATCCTTGTATCTTTCTGGGAAAATCTAACCCCAGCTTTTCTTTATTTCTGGGTTTTTTTTACTCCTAATGATAGAACATTTGGGGTTGAAATTAATTAAAAAGACAAGCCTTGTCAGATTTGTTAGCACAAGTCAGAAGATCACATTTGCAATAATGTTTTCTCATCTAAAACTAAATTGACAGAGAAAATATGAATTATATGGATAAAAGTTCTAAGTGGACATACTAGGTCTTTTACCAACTAACTCTTGAACTTTGACAAGACACTTAATATCGCTGATATCTCTCTTTCAATGAAAAATAACAGTAAGTTATTATTTACCTCTTAATTATCATAAATAACACTCTACCTACCTCCTGACATTGTAATAATGAAAATAGATAATATAGATAAAATACTTGGGGCAACGTGCTAAATGAATGTCTGCTTTTGTAAGCAACTTAAAAATAAGTTTGTCAAAATCTGTATTTCTCAGAGGAACTTTGCAAACTGTTAAGAGTTGAAGGGAATTTAATCTCAAAGATCAAAGGGCTCAGAGTTTGAAGGGACCTGTTTCGAGTCAGGCTTCCTACCTGACTTTGGGTACTGAAGGGGTTCCATCTCACTGGGGTCCCAGGAGGCCCGCAGTTTGCCAGGGCTTCCCAACTAAGCTCATGGAAGACAAGGACCAGCAGAATATAGGGCTTCAACATGACTCATGCTGTGATTCTCTTCCTTAAAACACATTTTAATCAGGATCCGTGAATAGGAACAAGAGTAAGTCAGTAATTCTCAAACAAACTGCTATTTGCACTTCTACCCAAATCTGATGACATATATTTTTAAGATTTACCACTGTATTTTTATCTTTCAGAAAATGGCAGTTCACACATTTTTGGGAAAAAAAAACAGCCAGGGAAAAGTGGTTTGGCCTGAGAACCTAAAACTTTTACATGCGGCAGAAACAGAGGGGGCTTCTGATTGTTAATCTGTGTCAGACTGGTTTCCTACCTTGACTGCAGGTCTTTCCAGCATATCCGGGATGACATTTGCATTTGTCGGGTCCGATACATTCACCATGTTTGCACTGTGGCCGGCAGACAGCTGTGGAAAGAGGATATCATGCATTATTTCTAGGTCAGTGGAACATCAATCGTACAGAATCTGTATCACGTAGGCAGTTTTATAATCAAAGAGAAGACTAAAAACTTACATCAGAGAAGCAGAAATATAAAAATCACTGTGTCTTAGAATGCTAAAGCACTGTTTAGATTTAATACTCTCACATACGTGTGGGTGTGTGTGTGTGAGAGTGTGTGTGAATCACTAGGTTCTGGAAAATTGGCTAAACCTAAGCGCAACGTTAAAATAGTAAAAAAAAAAAAAAAGGTAAAACTATGAATAAACACAACTGATGTTTGTCAATAGTTACAACTTTACAATAACCTGTATCTGTAATTTCAAACTCATTCCCCCAAATATGCTTCAAAAAATAGTTCTTAGTCGAAAGATATGGGTATATGTGAACTCCAGATAAATTTCCCACTAAATAATACTTATTTTACTAGGAATGTTATTTCTAATATGAAATGGTTCTAAACAAAACAAAACCCAATACTCAGTATTTTTGGAACTTCCATTTAAGAATACTTCTGTCATTTTGATCTTTCTTAACCCTAGGTGTGGTACAACTGCCTTAACCCTTGCCATGGCCAATCACAGCAAATAGGAAGTTCTATTTTACATTTATTATCTTCTGTCAACTGAGTTTGTCTTTCCTCAGGATTCCACAACGCTGTAAAACATCATTCAAAGCTTTTCAGTCTTTCATTCCTGCCAAGACACTGGTCAGAATTTATTTGGTCTACTCTATACCAGTAGTTCTCAGCTGAAGCCATCTTTGTCCCCTACAGAACATTTGATATAAACAGAGACGTTTTTGGTCGTCATACTGGGGAGAGGGTGCTACTGGGAGCTAGCAGGTAGAATACAGGGATGCTCTAAACATCTTACAACGCGCAGACAGCCCCCTCTAGAACAAATTATCCAGCCCAAAGTGTGATGGCGCCAGACTGAGAAACCTTGCTGTACACCGAATAGGTGGGTGGTGCTATGCCAGAGGTGAAAAAAGAAGAAAATTCATTGTATAGCATTGTCACTAGTCTCAAAGAGCTTACAAGAGACCAAACAATCATTCTGCATTTAACACATTTGTTTATGAACAAAATGGGTAGCACATACGAAATTTGTGAAGAAATCATCACACACGCATATTCACAGAGATTTGTAGAGAAAGCCTCAGGAGAGACTTGAGTTGGTTCTTCAAGCAAGGGTAGACAGAGAAGGGGAAGGCTCTCCAAGGTAAGGAGAGTTATACGGCAAAACAGACTATCATTTACTCAGAGGGCACCAAGGCAGAATCAAGCTAAAGAGATAGCTTACTGTCAGTGGAAAAATGAGATGTAGACAATCATAGATAGGTGACTGGTATCAAATGATGATGTTCCTTAAATTTCAGCTGAGGAATATATACTTTATCTATATGAAATGGGAAGCTTCTGGAAGTTTATTATCATCATCAGGAGAATGACCTGATAAAAAATAAATATTCTGGGGATATTAACCTGGTGGCAATATGAGGGATGAACTAGAAAAAAAATCTAGTCGACATGAGGAAAGGCATGATCTCTTTGTGACAGAAAAGATGGGCTTCAGTAAGCACTGAAGAGCAGACACATCCACCAAGGGGAGTGGAGTCGACTGACAATGACCCTGAGTTCTAAAGTCCCTGACACCTGTTACTTCCCATATCAGCCACGGCTGTTTTCATTCTGGGATATGCTCCTAGTTTCCTCTCTCACAATTCTCAAACTTCGCTTCCTTCAAAACTCGAATACTCCTGTAAAACTGAGGGGCAAGTTATTTCTGGTGTTTTCTACGTTTCCTCACTCAACTCTTGCTGACCCTTCCCTCACCTGGCACTCCATGGGACTTATTTGCCAATCTTACTTCAAGGCTTTCCTGTTTGTTTGCCACCCCACCTGGACCCTGTATCACTACTAATCCTTAGACAATGCTCCTCAAGAAGTGTTAAAAAGCTTGCAGAAAGAAGGGGTGAGCTGAGTAGAAGGTGTAAATGATAGAGAAATGCACTTGGAAAATTCTTAAAATCTGATTTTAGACATGACATGAAATTCAAAAGGAAGCAATTTTGTTCTGACCTGTGAGAAGAAATGATCTATCTAGAAGGGACTTCCAAAATTATTCTTCAGTCGACTGTATGCCAGTAGATGGTTTATATGCAGTTTTTAAAATAAGTCCCAGACATAAACCAGTCTTTATATAATTTCCAGGCCCCATAACCAGGAAATGCAAGTTAAAGCTTTTTTAAATCTTAAAAAAAAGATTTGCCGTAAATTTTAATGTTTATATATGAACACAACCTGAACGAATCAACTATCACTGAGGCACCCAGAGGGTCATAATTAAAAAAAAAAAAAAAACTCAAAATCAGTAAGTATGAGTTGAATCCCCTCAAATAGCTGGAATTTGAAAAAATCTCTAAAAACATGAAAAAGTAGTTTAGGAAGTACTACTTAAGAACATGAAAAAGTTTATTTAGAAGAGGACATGTTACGGAACAAACTCTAGGTGCCTAGGCTGTTTTGCCTTTTGACCTCCTGACCAGCTTGATGACCATCCATTTATTGTCCTTTCAGGTGCTGTGGAGGAACAAAAATTTTTATTGTCCCCTTCCCTTTCTTGTTGTTTGTTTTCAGTGCCCTAATCTTGGGCACATCAAATGCACACATTCCAAGAGGCCAAGACTGTTAATGTTTCTTACGTGTTTAGGGTGTCAGTAATTCTCAAACAAACTGCTATTTGCACTTTACCCAACGGACTGTTCACTAAAGTAACCAAGGACCTATATATTAGCCAACAGCTACAATCGGATAGGCTACTCAAAATGCTGATATCACCAATTGTTTTCTCTTACGAAAAGAAAACACTCAGAAAAATGTTGCATAAAGGGACTTTCTCCTATTATCTTGCTGGCATTGGGTCTGTGATGGAATTCAATAAACATGTGTTGGACATTTGTTATATACACGTATTATAGGTGAGTGTTGGGGAAGGGGGAGGAGAGAGAGTCACCGAGGATATGAAAAATTAGCTGTGAAACTAGAATATATTGGCCCAAACTTACCAAGAACTCAGGGAAAGAAGATGAAAGAAGGAAGGGGGGAGGGGCAGGATGGTCACAATATAATGTAGTCATAACAACTATGACTATAGGACCCCCTAGAAAATCCTGATCTGAGCAATGTCCCAGAGGTTAAGAGGCTGAGACAGTCGGGACTGAAGACAAAAGCCTTTCAGGACATGCATAAAATGTGAGGGAAGGGAAGTGAAGGGGTTCTCAGTGAGTGCCAAGTGTCCTAGGGGAGCTACACTGTAAAGTGCTTACAACAGCAGAGGAGACCCAAAGAAAGGTTAGGGTAGATCATAAAAGTACTGATGGCAGCAATCGCTGGGTGCTTAGCAGTATCTATTACTCCTTCTTTTGAAAACTAGAATGGCTTTTCTGTTTGCTCCTTTTGGGAGAGGGAATGAGTTAGCATTGGAAAACTACATTCCCTATCTTTCCCTGGTAGATCTGGGTAGCCAAGTGACCAAATTCTGGCTGGTTGTAGGTAAACAGAAGTTGGGCTTTTGGAATGCTCCTTTAAAAGGTGGCTGACTAGTCACTGAACTACAGTGGCCACTTTATGACCATGAGGTGATCCTGAGCAGGGAGAAGAGTACAGAGCAAAAAGTCATAATATTAACCCTAAATTAGCATCCTAGCAATTTAGGGCTCTGTTCCTTGTCTCACTGTTACTTGCAGCGCAATACAATTCCTAATGGACTACTACAAAGTAGTGGAATCTGACTTCAGTGTTTATTATCAAGCCTGCAAATGTTTTCTTTGGTATGCATTTAGGATAGAAATGTTAGGAGTAGATCCTAGGAAAGAAATACCGCCTGTCAAATTTATTTTAGATCTAGAATACCATTTAATCATAGAAGTAGCTAAAGAATTTCATTTCTAAATCTCAAGAATTAGATTAAAAGATGCATATTCATCTTGGGATAAGAGAAACACCATTCCAGCGCCTGTTAAACTTGGTCCCCCTCTTGGACACCCTCTCCAGTGTAACATGAGCTTTTGGGAGCCAGCACACACCAACCCTTACAACGTGCTGTGGATCGCAGGTCAGGGGCATAAAAAACCCAAATCAAAAGAGTAAGTGGTGTACTTCTAGCGGTCCACTTTAGAATGGTCTTCTAAAAACATCAAAGACAGAGGATACACTTGATTTAGAGGAAATCGCATGTCTCTTGGTGCTAAAGGTTAATCAGGAAAAGCAGTGTTACTCCTCTGACCTTCACATCAATTGGAGACAAGAACTTTGGGCCATCTTTGGTGGCCCACTCTCCTCCTGTATCACATATGGTTTAGCAACTCAGTAAATAAAAGTCTGGTGAGGATCAGATAGCCAATAAATGATAGATTCCCCCCCCCCCAAATTGGATGCCAGAATTAAGCCCAGACGGGCAAATCACACTCAAAATTTACTCTCCAACATCCCTATAGCATCATCTCCAAAGCACCCTTAAAATAACCTCTCCGTCATTTTTTGAACTAGAAAAAAAAACACATCTCAACTGGCAAAGCAGACATAGCTCTTTCATGTCCCATGCCCACATCTCTTCTGTGGGATTGCAATCTACAATTTTACTCTTGGAAGTTCATCCTGGCATAACTGGGGTTCTGGGATTTGAATGGTTTTCTGACACTGCCATGTAATGAGTTTTCAAATAAGTTAGGGGACAAATAAACTCCCACATCAGTTCTATATAACTTTTCTTATGGAAACTAATCACCCTGGGAGTCAAAGTTCAACATTTGAAAAAAATCAGGACACACTGAGATGCCCAAGCAGGCGGTGGCTCTGGAGAGTGACAAGGGAAAAACCAACTCAACCACAGGTGTTGTTAGTGACTTCAGAAGGATTTTCTAATGTAAATAAGATGGTCTTTGGAGTCCTAAGCATCACTTG